ATTTTTACTATCAGTTTTTCTAAGAGAACTATCTAATCGATTTTTTATTGAATCACATATTTTTGTTTTTGGATCAACTTCTTTCATATTTAAAATTAAAGCATTAAAATAGATATGAGTTATGTTAAATAATTTGGTTTGTAACAATAAATATAATGATGTCATTTCAGTACAACTAAAATCAAGTTTAGGTGTAAAACTAAATAAACTTTCTGAAAATGTATTTTGAATAGTACTTTCATCAATAATACATTTATATAGTTCATAATAATTATCAGAAGAAAATCTATTTTCTAAAATATTTGATAAAGAATTTAAAGAGAAAACAAATTCAGAATAATATCTTCTAAGTTGAGACTCTTTTCCTTTGAATTGTTTAATAATTTTGTCTTTAATATCAATTAAATGATTAATAGCAAATATTGAATCAATATTTATTTCATGTGGACTAATATGAACAGTATTTCCATTTAAACAAAATAAAAATTTATTAATTAATTCATTAACCATTGAAATAGGATAATTATAATTATATGTTGCCATAAAAAAACAATTTCTTGCTGGTGGTGTTTGAGATAATAATGTTGTTTTAGTTTCTAATTGTGCGATAAGAGTAATTAATGAACTTGCTAATACTAAATCAGTAGAATATAATCTAACAGCAAATTCACATAATACACCAAATGCATTTTTACCTGATCCAGTTATTTGATAAAATCTACTAAAATCTTCTGTTTGTGAATCATTATTTTTTTCTTCAACAACACATTGTGCTAAGAATAAATATGCTGATCTAGAAATTGATGGTGATTCAAATATTTCTGTTAAATATTCTGCAATTCTTAATCCTTCAGCTAATCTACCTGAATTTAAACAATCTAATAATTCTATAATTAATTGTGATGTTGCAATTTCTACTTGTGAATATTTACACCTAGATTCTGTTGTAACAACTTTCATATGTCTTGGACATGAATTTTTTTTATGAATACAAGTTTCATGTTTACATTCTTTTATTTTACATTGACAACGTCCACAATTACAAAGACAAGCTAATCGGACTGTTCCTTTTGAATGTTTTTTATGTCCTTTAAGATTTTTATTACATTCTTCACAAAAATAATATGTTTCATTTGGATCACAATCACAAATATAATAACATAGTCCTAAATATTTGTTGCATACAGATGATTGTTCATGTAATAACTCTTCTTTTTGTTGAATATTTTCTCCAAACACTAACGCATCAAATTGATGAGAAAATTGTGTTGGTTTCATTACAGAATCAATAACATTGATCAATAGAAAATTATCTTCTGATGAAAGTGGTTGTCCTAGTTTTTTCTTTTCATAAATCATTTGAAGTATATTAAAATCTGGTTCTGTCATTTTTATTAAATAAAACACTAATAAATATTTTAGTTCTAACCATTATCTTTCTTTTTTTTCTTTTATAAACTTCTTTTTTATCTTTAAATAACAATAATTTATTTATTCTTATTAAAATATTTTAAAAAGAAAAACAAAATATATCTTACTTTTAAATCTTATTAGCTAAATGTGTTATTTATTGAAGGAGTGGTTTTAATTCTCCTTCTTCATTCATATCAACACAATCATCTAGAGTACCAATGTACTTTTCTCCTTTAAATAAAATTGGCCAAACACCAATCCTACCTGTTTTCTCTTTAATCATTTCTTTCATTTCTGGAGTTCCATCAACATCAATGTAAATAATTTTTTGTTGAACTCTTGTAAGAGCAAAAACCAGACTAGTCATTTGGG